AGTCTGCGTCTTTTATGTAAAAATTTAATCCACTGAATACTTTTTAAAAAACTGTGTGTCCTTAATGCCTTACAATTCATGTAAGTTATTTGAAAGCATATCTGATTACTGAGTACCTTCTTATTAAACTACTAAAAAATATATATCGACCAACCTCTTCGTATCATTTCAGGAGTGCTTCCTAAACATAATCACCTTTCATCTTTTAAATGTTTGCCAATTATATTACACGAGGATATATGCAGCCATGGCTTAAAAGGAAGTTAAAGATTGTTTTTTTTTATTAATTTGTTTTTCTGATATAAGGATTCTTTACCTTTAAAAATAAGCTTATATCCAATTTGGCAGGCAATTATGCAAATGTATTCTGCTAGGGCAGATTCCAATGGTAAAACATAAAATAAACTTAAGAAAAATGGGGGAGTCAAGTAAAGAGAAAGTTGGTGGGTCTTGCTATTTTTTTTTTACTTTAAATATTTTTAGGCCTCTTTACCACTGCTGTTGGGTCATTTCTCTTAGCTATACTAAAGAGCCTTTGTCAGTCTGGAGGAGGCAGCCATGTGTCCATGAATGCTTATTTAGTACGGTGAGGACAGATGGCCTGGAATTGCTGAAGAAGACCTTAAGATATATTTAAAAGAGGAAAGGGAAAGAAACAATAAGGGAGGAAATAAATTAGAGAAGAGGCAAATGTGTAGCCAGGAAAACTACCCGCATACACACACACACACACACACACACACACACACACACAGGCACACGCACACAAATGAAGGCAAACTATAAAGTGGTAAGTAGGACCTGATTTTTTATAGATTTGCTTTTTTTGTAGAAACTTTAATTTTCATTATTGTTGATTTGTTGTCTTTTTAGGAGCAACCTGACAATCATAACCACTGCTGGTTTGGGCTTCATCTGTTTTAGTTGATACATACTGCACTTTTGCTTCTTATAGCATCCAAACTTGAAATATAAATTTTGATTCAGAAAAGCTCAAGGGATTTACTTAAATCAAACTGAATTAAATTGAAATCCCTGACACCCTAAGAGTCAATGCTTTAATACAATTTGAGTCTGTCATAATTAATTTATCTTGCTTCACATTTAATTTTTTTCCTGTTATTTTAAGAAAACATACACACTATTGCCGAATCCAAACCTCATGAAGGGCTGGTTCATGCGTCCCGGGAATGGGAGAGGAAGCGAGCATGGAGAATCGATGGGCATGGAGGCATCAGTGGATAACGTTGTTGTTTTTTTCCACATAAACTATGTAAAATGTTGTGAGATGATCAAAAAGTGACATTAGTGTATTTTTATTATGTATTTTTTCTTTCCAAACTATCAAATTAACATTTTCCCATTTTCTTCAGATTTATTCTAGTTCAACCATGCTCTGACTATGCCAGGTAACAGAGGGCTGCTGCTTCAATTGCCAGGTTTGCTAATGCTCATAAAACAAATATTAGATTCCAAATTTCTTATTGCCTTCTGAGTTGTCATGGTTATCAAATGACACCTTCTCTAAATTCTCTCTCACTTTAACTCTTTTCCATGCTTTGTATAAACAGGCTGCTTGAAAATCAAGAAGAAAAAAAAAAGAAACATCAAGTTTGGGTGCTATAAGAAGCATGAAACACAGAAGGAAAGAAATATTTTGTTAACCACAAATTGAAACTGGAAAGATTTTATCCAGAAGCATTAAATGTCATTAAACATAAGAAGTCTAAAAAATACCTGCTTTATATAATGGTTCTCTGAACAGGCTCTTGGTAACTTGCAGCCTGCTAAGTGAGTGACTTTCGCATTGTGGTTAGAGCTTTTCTGCAACAACTCCCACCCCCCCACTCCCTCCCCCAACAACCATCAGTGAAACAGGCAGCGAAGACGCTGGATCATTCTAAAGTAAATATAAGGGATATTTTTTTGGATACAGGCACCTTTAAAAATAGAAAGGCAAGAAGATTCATAAACAGAGGCTTTGAAAATGTACAATACTTTTGTCTTACAAAAACATCTGTTGCTCAGATGAGTATTTGGAACACTGAGTGCTTCAGATTACCCCTCAGAAGGTGTGTTGGGTGGTGACTCTCTGTGGACTTGGCCCCAGGGGAGGTCAACCAGACTCTCGGCCTGTTGGCTCAGCAATTTCCCAGTGGTCAGCCAGTCTTGCCATAATCATATGCTGGCGCCCCAAGCCTGTTTCTTAACTGTACTCTGTACCTTCTAATGAAAGCATCCCAAAATATCCCCAACCGCCCAAATTCTGGGGCAGCCATGACCTCAGACTGGACTGCTGGACACAGTACGTTTGCTCAGACAGAATGGCTGATAAAAATCTCCCTGCCTTGGTGACTGAAATACTCATTCTCCTTGCTAGTTCTTGTCACGTCACAGCTTATGAATATTTGCATGAATTCCAGGATCTTTGACTTATACCTGATCAGGAAGTTCTAACCCAATGCATGACACTACAATCTCATGTAACTTGGAGCTTTTACAATTAAAAAAAGAAAAAAAAACAGGGGGCCAAAGTAATTATAAAATAACTTTTTGCGCTTAAAGCAATATGTAAAGGGCAACAAAAAGTAACATGTGCAAATCAAAAGAGATAATTAACTTGAATGTTATCTGCAAATTGTAGTTTATCTCCTATACAAAATGGGAAATGATTTCACAGTGGATCTACACTCAAGTGGCTGTGGATGAGGGTGTACTATCTCGGACTACATTACCATCTTTTAGGGAAGATTTCAGCTTGAAGGATAATAAAACAAATGAGGATATGCCACTTCTCATGACAAGTTCAAATGGAACAGCAAGCAAGTAACAACAGGTCTAAATTCAACAGGTGTTCTTTGGGCACCTCATCTTGTCCAGCCTTTGTGTGACCAAGTAACTAAGCGTCTTGTTCAGTGTGGCTTGAACAGAAAAAAAAAAATTAGTTTAACGACCTGTTAAGGAAATAAGCAAAAGATAAAACTTAGGGGGAAAAAAACGATCTCTATTGTTATTTTGCCATATTTTATATGCATTCTGAAAGCTTTGAAGCCTCTTCAAAATAATGCTCATAGATATCCAGCATAATTCACACAACCTGATTCTTAACCGTGCCTTCTTTACTTTGATAGTATCAGTTAGAGCACACATTTGAACTAGCTTCCCAGTATTAATGCTTTTATTTTCTTATTTCAAGAAAAAAAATTTACTTGTAAAAAAGGAGTAACACAAAACATACCAGCATGGTTTTGTTAAAAATACAAAGCATTATCGTTTATATGCTAGTGACTTTCTCCCTACAAGTATGCTTTGTAAACGTGATTGAATGAGATGGAAAAAAATCTTTTATTATCTCAGCTCTCAAAACCTTTACTGTTTAAGCTACACTTGCTCCTAGGTATAGAAGAATTAAAACCCATCAGGATGTTGTAGAGCAAGCAACTAACAGCCACTAATAAGGATCCTTGCGTGCATTTAAGTACAGGTTGGCAAAAATAATTCCTGTATTATTTATTTAAAAATATAATTTTGAAGGCCCAAAGTCTGATGTAGTATTTCTATTACTAACCCATTTCCTTATAAAATTCACATTATTTCCTACCTATGCACTGTACTTTGCTGTGAATCAATAACATTTCCTAAATGTATGCCGACATATTTATACACAGTATTCAAATATATGTGTATAAATGCCGATACTTTTCTCATTGTAGATGTCTTTATACATATGACAATAATTATAGTGCACTTCTCACAACTAGGAAAAAAGCACAAATTCACTGTAACCTAGGAACTCCGTGGGGTTTTGGCTACTTTTATTTTTCTTTCTCCACTGGGGTGGGACAAATCTGGTGGAGTCACAAACAGTGTTGAAAACAAGTGAAAGTCAATTTTACCTTGCTAATTTTTCATATGCTTTTTTTCTTTAACTGCAGAGCTTTCTTTTTTCTCTTTTTCTTTTCAGAATCACTTAAAAAATTTTTTTTGCAATCTATTTTTTCCCCTAGAAAGTAACCCCTTGTGTCCTACCTTAAGCTCCTCACTGAATGATCTCTTTTTCTTCTAATTATATTTCTTCACCTTGGGAGGGACTCACACTGCTTCAGGATAAGCAACCCAGAAGAGCCTAAGGTCAGGTGTGCCCTAGAATCTAACTCTAGAAATTACAATCACGAATATGAGCAGGAGAGGGGAAAAAAGAGGCAGAATAGGGAATTTGTAATGATATTGAGGCTCATTCTGAGGAATAATTAACCGAACAGCATCCTATGTTACATCACTTGCTTGAAATCTCAGAGGACAGACTAAAGAATTTAGGAAACTGATCTGAATTGGCTTCCTAAAGCCACGAGGTTAACAAATTAGTTGTACTAATGATCAAGCCTCCGAGTTTTATTTCCCAAGTATTTAATGCTCCAGGGTCCAAAAAAATAGAATTTTATTCACAAACCAGCAGAACACACAGAGTAACAATGGCATCTCACACATTAAGGGTACTGAAATTTAAAACATCTAAAGAAGAAGAAACAGACTTAATCTGATAGGAGGATTTCGTTCCTCTTAAAAATGGGGTTCAATGAGGGAATTAATGGGGGGCAGCCAGAGAGAAGATTTCTAAGATAATCCTTGAGGTAAAAGGGAAAAGTATGGGGACATTTGTGAAATGCAAACTCTTCAGGTAGAGGAATTGTAGGTAGAAAAGGGAGAAACATTAGCAGAGCTTTTAAACCAGATCTTCAGCTGGGCTTTTGTTTAACACATATGCAAATGTGTGCACTGCTTCATTTGAATATTTATTTACTGCATTTGTGAAGGAAATTGGGGGATTATAGCCTCTTCCCAGCTGTGTTTTAGTTAATGACTGGTCAGCCTATTAGCCTGCTCTACTAAACGGATTCTCTGCACAAGCAACACCTTTTTTTACCCTGACTAGAAATTCTTCACATAAACAACAGTGGGGAAAACAGCAAACCAAATCCAGGGAGTTTTACACCAAAAAGAAAATATTCCCCCAGAATCATTAGAAATAATAAATTTATTTGACAATGGTGACTTTTGCATTTTTATAATAAACAAAGCAAACATGTGTTCTAAGATGTTGTAGATGGGAAAGGGGAGTTAGCTAATCAGAATTTCTCTTTCCTTGAGGATGAATTCAGGTTACTGTTCTAAATGGTTTTTCTTTGCCTTCCCTGGTACTTGTGCACTTATTGTCCCCTATGAACACAAACACACACATCATTGAAAATGTCATGAATTACTTGGGCAATTATTAATATTTGACAAATTCATTGGAATGTGAATTTCACAATTTCCCCCATCTCCTTACTGCCAAAAAAACACAGAAGGAGAAAGAGTAAATAACATTTCTCTAGCAACTAAACTCAGTGTACTGTCACTGCTTAAACCAACTTATTTAGAGGCATCAGAACTAGTTATGATTAAAGACCTATCAAGACCACATCATTTGTAAGGATTAATGGTGAGCAAATCTTTAGGTTAAAAAGCTCTATTGTAACCTACGTCTAGTGTTCTATCATGTATTGATGGTTATGAAGAAAAGTAGCATCTATTTTCTAATAAGTTTAAATGTGTCAATCAATAGAAGAAAATTTATCTTATTCTCCAAATGTCTGTCTTCTTTATACTTTTCAAATTTTATTCACCCTAGATCCACCCATCCATGTGAGAACATACACTAATTCTAATACAGTCAAAATTAATCCATGGAAATGCAAGAGCCAAATTCTTACCATCAAAATTCTACATTTTTCTGTCTGGATCTAAGAAAAGCCTGAACTTTGACTTTACTAGTGAGATGATCTTTATACATCAAATTTATAAAATACTTATTTATTTAAAGTATTAACACTTAAGAGGATCTGTGTAAACAACTTGTTTCTGCTTGTTTGTATATGTATAGAGTATTCCTGCAAAAAAAAGAGACAACCATGGGCGACCTAAGAGTCATGTGGGGATGAAGAACTATCCCTGGAGCAGAATTATCACTTCTCATAGTTGGTAAAGTGAGTATCATACGTCAGATTGGCAATTCAAATATTTACAGAACAAAAGCAAATAATAAAGGAAGATGTGCTGTCAGATCTCCAGATATACAGAGAAGTAACAATTAGGTTGATGAAAGAATAGTACACGAATAAATATTCTACCTAAGAAAACTGATTTAGATACTTCATTGCTAAGATCATAGTAGTGCTGCCCATTTTACGTAAAACCATTTAAAAGAGCATAAAGAAGTTTCAGGCACACATGTCATGCCATCCTTCTACATCAGAAGTGAAGGGTGTGCACTTCTCGATGGCATCATTTTTCTGCCTTCATACATGAGTTTCTAAACCATCTCATAAGCTTGTCAGGCATATTTCTTGTTCATTCCTTCTGTGGGGCAGAGGCAGACAGATTGCTGGATCAGATAGTGCAATACGCTGTATACTGCATTTGAAATGTGCCTTTTTTTAAAGCAGCAGATTTATTGATTTTCTTAAGTAGAAAATATGCACCCGGACATTAGACAAACACAGACTAAACACAGACTGAGGAAAAGCTGATAATTTGATTAAACTGACTGAGCTTTTGTTGTCTGTGTTTGGGGAATTTCCAATAATGTGCAAGTGCCAAGCGCCCCTCTTCTTCTGAATTTAACAAATGTAATCCCTAAGTACAATAAATGTTACAATTATACTGTATTTGGAGAATTGTTTTTCTTTAAAAAAATATTTTCATGAGCCCATATATTGCTTAGGTTGAAAGGAAAGTAGGGTGAAAAGCTTGCCTTGCTGAAAACAGAGGACTTTACTCAGAAAGGGGTATTAGCTAAGCAAAAAGCATTCATTCTAAGGAAATATTTTCTTTCTATCTACCTACCCACCTATCAAGATTACTGAGGTATAATTGATTAGATGTAATATGCTCAATTTGGGGGTCAAATTGAGTTCAATATTTAAGGTTTATAATGCTTCACAGCATCATTTCACATGTCTTAGAGAACAGTTTGGTTGTCTCAAATTGTCGAAAAGTTCTGGTTATTTAATTTAACCTTGTGAATGCCTGCAATGAACTTCCTGGCAGGAGGGTGTGTGTGTGTGTGTGTGTGTGTGTGTGTGTGTGTGTGTGTGTGTG